TATATTCTGTTTCACATTAAAAAAAGAAATAGTTTGCCAGACCTGCAAGGGATTCACAATCTAGTCTCGTTCATGTTTGTATCAGCCCTGTGTTCCTATACTGATTTGCAATAATAGTATCTTTATAATACTTTATAATAGTATCTTTTTTCCCAAGTTTTTAAACCATATGTTCATGAGAGATTGCTAGAAGTTGATTTTTACTGCAAGAACATTGGAAAATCCATAACTGAAACCAACAAATATTATAAAACATAAAGGTATTTCTAAATTTCTTTAAAATACTGAAAATGATTGCCCCTTAGAAATAATTTTCTCACAGAACAACCCATCATATATACTGCCACAACATGCCTGTTCATTTTTTAATATACATATATAATTTTTATTAGAGATTTTAACAGAGGTAAAAGATAAACATGAAAATACATAAAGAAAAATTAATAAATAGAAAAAAGAAAAAAGTGCAGGAAACAGTACAGATAGAAAAAGAAAAACAAATATAAAGAAGTGACTTCCAGTCTTTACAGCTGTTACAATTTATCATCCTCTTTCCTCTTTAAGATTATATAACATAGTTCCCTTCTTCCCATATTCAACCCAATAATCACCAATTCATTTTTTTCCATTTCCAGCAAAAAGGCCATAAGAGGTTTCCAGTCTTTTATAAAATTACTTATTGTTTTATTCCTGATCAAAACAGGCCAATTTTGCCATTTCTGCAAATTCCATCATCTTCACAATCCACTCCTCCATTGTGGGTGTTTCAGTGTTTTTCCATCTTTGTGCACATAGTAGTTTTGCTGCATTTATCATATACAAAACCAGTCCTCCACAAAACTTTTCTAATTGGCTATTCATAGGTCCCAATAAGAAAAGTTCTGGTTTCATCTGAATATTAATCTTTAAAATTCTTTGCATCATCATGTTTATTTGTATCCAATATTTTTGCTTTTTTGCAAGTCTACTATGCATGGTAAAATGTCCCTTCATGTTTTTCACATTTCCAACAGTGATCAGAAGCACCTTTATACATCTTAGATAATTTCTCTGGTGTCATAAACCAACTCTTTAACTTCTTCTTCTTCTGCTTCAAATCTCAACAGAAGTTTGTACATTTACCAATCACATGTTCACCTGTACATAATTCAATTTCAAATTCCATCTTATATTGTTCAATCTAGTTACTTTTTTATCTATATTAAATCTCTCTCTTGTGCATATGAAAAACATTGAAAATTATATCCCTGTGTAGTCAGTTGTTCTCTTGACTACATCTTAAGCTGTCCACGTTCCTGTACTAACAAATCTTGATGTGTTAACCATTAACATATCAACTGTAAAATGCTTCTTGTGCTGAAAGCAATAAAGATATTTTCGGGCACAGCCTGGTTTATATTTATTCCATATTCTTAATATGGCACTTATAAAATAATGTTTTTTAAAATCTACATTAACTTTAAGTTTATCATACCATAAAAAGCCATGCCATCCAAAACTTCAAATCATGCACTTCTAATTCTAACATTTTCTTATTTCTCAACAGCACCCACTCTTTCATCCAAACCAAACAGTAGGCTGCAAAATACAATTTGAAATCTGACAGTCTTAGTCCTCCTCTTTCCTTTGCATCTTGAAGAATTTTATATTTAACCCTTGGTTTATTCCTTTGCCATATAAATCTAGATATTCTTTTGACCATTGCTTGAAAGGTGCATCATTTGTCAAAACAGGTATTGTTAGAAATAAAAATATCATTCCAGGAAATACATTCATTTTTACCATAGAAATCCTCCCAAACAGTGATAATTGTAACTTTTCCCATCTTAACATATATTTCTCGATTTCATTCCAAACCTTAACATAATTATTTTGAAATAACTTACAATTCATATTGGTCATAGTAATACTAGGTATTTTACTTTTTTCTCAACCTGAAAACCAGATTTTACAATCAATTCTTTTTTGATCTTTTATCCTCATTTTTTTTGTTGACATCTTCATTTTCTTATTGTTAATTTTAAATCCAGCCAATGCACCAAATTGCTTTAATTTTTCCACTAACATTTTTATTTTTTCCATGGGATTTTCCAAAATTAAAACCAAGTAATCAGCAAATGCCTTTAGTTTGTATACTTCTTTTTCAACCTTCATCCCAGCTATTCTCTTTTCATGTCTTATGTCACTATTCCAAACTTCAAGGACCAGAATGAATAACAATAGTGAAAGCAGGCATCCTTGCCTTGTTTCTTCTATATTCCATAGGGTTTGGTCAATTTCCCATTAACTATAATTTGTGCCATTTGTGAAGTATATATTGATTGTGATAAAATTTTCCCCAAAGTCCATATCTTCCAGAATTTTGAACAGAAAAGTCCAGTTTAAATTATCAAATGCTTTCTCTTCACATCCATGAATATCAATGCAGCTTGTTTTTCATTATGCTGCTCTAAATATTCTGATATTTTACAAATATTTTTAATGTTATCTCTTAGTTGCCTTTTAGCAAAATGCCACACTGATTTTCATGAATAAAGTCTTGCAAGTCATTTTCATCCTTTCAGCTAAAATTGTATTCAATTAAATACAATGTTTAATTGTAAATATTTTATAATCATTATTCAGTAAAGATATTGGTTGGTAATTTTTCAGTAAGGATGGATTTTGTCCTTCTTTAGGATGCTTGCACCTGTTTGCACTTATCCAACTATCCAGTATCCTTCTGTGATCTAGAATAGAATTTATCATTTCCTGAAGAGGTTGTAGCAGTTCATCTTCAAAATGTTTATAGTAAGAGGCTGACAATTCATCTGGGTCAGGAACTTTCCCTATTTTTGTCTTTTTTTATAGGCTTAGAAAATTCCCTTATTGTTATAGGTCCATTCATCATCTGCTTTGTTTATCTATTACTTTGGTAAATTTTGTTTCTTTAAATATTCACCCACTTTTGCTGGGAAGATTTCTTCTCCTTTACATAGTTTTGTCTAGTATTGATGGAATATTCCTTGTATACTTGCATTGTCTGTTACTGTAGTTTTCCCATTTTGTAATTTTAGTATCATTTTCTTTTCAATTTCTCAATTTATATGAGACTGTTTTCCTGGCTTATTTGCTGACACAAAGTTCTTCTGTTCTGCAAAATTTCTTTTTATTTCCATTCTCTTATTCTTAACATATAAAGTTGGCATTATAAAAGTTTAACTTGTTGTGAGACATTTTTTCCTTCCTGGAGATTACTTAGTTTCTCCTCTTTCATTTTTATCTCCATTAAAATACTTTGCATCTTCTCTTGTCTTTGTCTTTTCAAGTTTCCTGTTTTGCCTTATAAATTGCCCTCTTACAAAGGCTTTACTGGGATTCCATACTGTCCTTAGGTTAGTGCCTTTATTAATATTGTTCTCAAAAAATTATTTCAACTTCTTTTTACAGTCCTCCATTATTGATTCCTTTTGTAGCAAAGTTTCATTTAGTCTCCATGTATAAGTCCTAACACTCCTCTTATATGTTAAAGTCACTGGGTTATGGTCTGAAAAATTCTTTGGCAGTATTTCTACTTTGTTAACACATGTAACAAAATTAATTCTAGCCTGGTAGTATCAGCATACTTAATCTTAACAAACTTAATCTTTTAAAATACTCTAAGCATTTTGAATATAGAATTAACATACACACATATATACACACAGACAGAAGTATATTACATATTCCATAAATTGATGAATTGATTGAATCTCAGTGAATGTGCTGCTGCTCAATACGTAAAGTGACCTGTATTCTAAGGGGAAGTTATGTAAGCTTTTAAAATACACATAGCTTTGAAAATATAATGTGCTGATGCATAGTCTGATTTTCACAACTCAGTTGCCACAATGATTGCTTATGCAGTTGTCATCATGAATGGATTGACTTGTCACATGTTATCACCGTTACATGTGTACTTCTATGCCAAGTTTAGATGATATTGGTGGCAAATATTGATGGAATTTAAACTGATTTTCTTTATTTGAATAATCTGTGGTTAACTGTAGCTGTTTCAAATGCCTTATCTGCTGAAGTCATAATCTGTAGTTTATTTTTTTACATTGAGATCTGAGGAAAATTTAGTCTAGTATATGGCATTACTGATCTAAATAACTGGTTGATTATATCATATGTAATATACACAATACACATATTGCGTTTTATCAGATTATTGAAAATAAAATATCAAGAAATGTTAAGAAAGTTCAAGATGTAGGGTGGGTAACTACAAATTATGAATGCATTACAAGTTGTTATTGCTCCTTCAGGATGGATCTTTGTACAATATCTCCACTATCCATTCCTGAGGTATACTTTCAATTTCATATACATAAATATTGCATGCACATTCTTTGTTTCAGCTTTGGCTGAATTAAAGAAAATGTATAGCATCATTTTCCTACTAAAGATTTGGGGACTGTAACCCCAATTCTATCCGTCTACTGTGCAGTAATTTGGGATTATGGTATAGGGAAAGGGGGAGGACTGCTGCCAGTGGGGACTTTGTGAATGTTTTATGATATAGCATTCAGATAAAATATTCACAAAAGTGTGACTTTGATTTGAATTATTTGGTGAAGCTTAGCTTTGGTCAAGCCTGCCTTTATGTTCCTATTCAAGAGTATAACTTGTAGACTTTCCAGAACAGCAATCAGTGATAGTTTGTCAGACATGGTGGAGTTCCAATTCTGATGAACTTCAAAAACAGAAAACTAATAAAAGCCACAGGAAGAACTAAAGTAGATAAAAGGTTACGATTTTCTTTGAAACAGTGCAGATTTAAAGCACACTTTGCAAATCAAGCTCAATCGTCTACGGTCTTGGGAACTAAGTAGTAAATAAATTCATGTAAATACAGACATAGACATTTTGAGTCAAGAATTCAGTTTTGACATAATATTCCCAATGGCTAGCTGTGTAAGACTAGATGCTATTTCTGTCATATATACAAGGATTTGGGGCCTTTGATTTAGACTTACTTTCATCTCCAGTTTCAAATTCAAACTTCTGGCTATAGCCACTGTATCCTGTTGCAGTCCTGAGTCTGATATGAAATATGTACTTGGTGGCTGGTTTGAGACCTGTGACAATAACACTTGGAGCCTTCGACCTTGTGGAAGAATAGCTGAGCTGCTCATTCTCCTGAGGGACAAAAGAAGAGAAAATGGGATGTGACATCCTAGCAATCTTTCAAAACTAAATTTGTTACTAATGTCAAATTGCATTAATTTAAGGGCTAATAACCATCACTATGAGGTGTGGCACAAGCTAGGCTTATATATAGCTTAAGAAATTTCTGTTTTCTTATATAGTGAGAATTGAGTAATTGTGAATTCAAGAGTTAGTAATTAGACAACATACTATGAAATTAGTACAAGACTACATCAATAGAAAATGGCAATTATATACTTTAAATCATGGATACATTTGGATTGCAAATAACTATTAAAAACATAATGCATAAGTATGGGAGTATTCCAATGTCTGCTACTCACTTCTACCCGCAGGTAGTGCCAAAATGCCGGCGCTATCCGTGGGTAGGCCTGTGGGTAAAAGAAATGAAAATTAACTCTTTGTATTTATGCTTGCAACCCTGAAACAGGTCCTATTATCTTTTTGGATTGGAAATGTGTATTTATGCATACAAGTATCTTGAAGATGTGTATCTTGCTACTGAACTGGCACTGGACATCTACTCTATATAGGGTAAAATAAATGTGTATTTCTCCCAAGTTATAATGGGTTTTGTCCAAAATCAGTGTAGTCAAAATTCTTGGGTGAAATGATTTTTAGAGGTGTCCCAATCACTACCACTGCTGCAAGACTGATAGGAATAGCAGTGGCCTAGTAACTGTTTGAGAATTTCTTTTGTTCCTCTTTTGTTCTGCTCATAAGCTTCAATATATCACGCGTGAGTATGTTTCAAAATATTTTTTAAAATAAGTTTCTATGCATCTAATTCTGTAATTTTTTTGAGTTTGTAAAGCTCTGAGGGACAAGGGATGTGGCAAAACAGTCTATGTGTTTCATAACAATAAGCAATATTTTTCTACTTCGACACATATTTGAATTTCTAAGTTCTTTGTTTTTCATTTTTTTCAACCTTACCTTGAAATTCAATATACTAACTAAATCATAATTCAGGTTAGGACAGAATTGTCATATAATCGATACCCTAGAGGTACCATATAAATTTCCAGCGTAGCCTGTAGAATTCTGGGAGATGAATAATAAAATATCAAAAAGGATACAATTGGGGAGGGCTGTGATAAAGCAATCATATAGTGTATTAATTATCAAAAGGCATTTTGTGTATGATGCCTTGAGAGATTAGAAGTTCACTAGTGATCTCTCAAAAAGGGGGAAAAACAGGAATTGCCCTCCCACCAAGGAATTCTATTGTATTAGTACAGCAGCTTTGAAGCCAGAAGCACTGCCCTGTAAATAAAATTGGCCTAACTGTCTCTAATCTAATGCAACTAAAGTGAAATTATTTATGGCATGGCAAAGTTTTTAATGCTGCTCCAGAGAAACAGTGCATCATTGCTATCTTAGCAGTATAATATCAATGTAACAATTGCTATATGATTAAGTTGTTGTGTTCAGGGAAAATGAAGCACTGGGGAAAATATTAAATGATCTGTGGTGCTCATAATTCAAAATAGGATAGACAGTTTAAAAAAATCCCTGTCCTATGGGAAGTCTTTATTTTGTTTATTTTTAATGAAGTTTCCAGCATATTATTACATTTTGCAATAGCAATCCACTGGTAAACTGAACAAAGAAAATCGGAAATATTTATGTATATGTAAAAATAGTATACAAACAAGAATATATTAATATGCTATTCCCTAAAAGACAATTAAATTTTGCCTCTTCAACAAGTGTTAAGATTATGGCATAATTGAAAAGGCAATCAGACTCTTAAAGCTCATACACCTTTACAGTGAAAAAGAATGTGGATCCAATACTACTGATCCTTCTTCAAAACCCAACATAATATCTATTTCCCACCTTGAAAAGGAGTAGGAATAAAAACATAAGCTGATGTCCTAGAAAGTCTCATTTTGTTGGCAGCCACTGGATCCAAAATTTAACTTAAAAGACAAAGAAAATAACCAAGATCTCCAGCAGGTACCCAGACCGATTGCATAACTGAAACTCAATGGCATATATTGCTTTACTAAAATAGGTATGTTAGCTTCTGCTAGGCTTGATGAACCCATTCCTAAACACCCTGAAAGACTTAAGGCAAAAACACAAAAACAAAAGAACAACAACAAAAAAAGGAAATAAACAAAAAAACTATAACATTTCACTTAAACATTGATTACCACATTACATCACAATATGCTTGATGTATCCTTTGGAGTCCCATAAAATCATAAAAAATAAACTATGGCCCATCCAGGTGAAAAGTGAAGAGAGGTTAAATATATAT